GCCACCGAGCACAGTGGCGCTCTCTGCGAGATGTACGCAGCAGCCTGGGTGATGGCGAGCGGCATGTACTCAAGCGCTGCAGCTAGCTCCGTCAGCTCCGCCAGCTTAGCACCATCGCTCTTGTCCGCTTGCGCTCCCAGCTTCCTTGCAAGCAGCGTCAGCGACTGCGCCTCGTCCATTGGATCAAGTGTGATGATGTTGCGCTGCTCCACCAGCTGCAGCGCCGCCTCTTTGTTTCGCGTTGTAACGAGGATCGAGCCGTGCTCACAGTAGGGGAGGTACTCGCGCAGCGGTCTAGCTGCGGTCTTGGAGCTGGCAGGTTGGGCCTCGAGTAGAAAGCTGGCATCGTCCACGTTGTCTAGCACGAGCAGCCATGGCTGCTTGCTATCGCACAGCCAGTCGTGCACCAGCTTAAAGATGTTGACTTGCGGATCCTGTCGCCCGGATATCTTGACGCGGTCGGCAATATCGCGGAAGCTTTGCTCGAGCCGGACGGCGTTGCTGGCGTGCGCCCACAGTACCCACGTCTCTGGCGATTGCTCGCGCGTGCGGTAGGCGTGCTCGATCGCTAGCTGCGACTTGCTGCTTGGCCGTCAGTGTGCTATGTTTGGTCGTGTGCAGGAAGCGCTCATGCTGCTCACCCCACCCCGCCGAGGCCAACAATCGCCTGTCTCGCGTCTGGCTGTGTGCATCGCTCACAGAGCTCGTCGAGCAATGTGCCTCTGTCGACAAAATCTGCGTCTCGGGCGAAAGGTATCACGATGGATGGCGGTGGTGGAGTTTCGCGTCGCTCTAGGCGGAGGCCCGCCGGTTAGCGCTTGGTCTGACGCTGTTAGCCTCGGATCGTCTCGCAACTCACCAGGTGGAGCAAAGAATGTAGTGTGGACGGGACCATTTATAGTGCCCGCTTGAAACCCGACGTTAGCGGGGCCAAACGTTGTAGATGCCATAAAGAGAAGAAACGTTCGTCGATACAAATGTTTCCATGTCTCTGTACGTGGGAAGGCTGAAGTTGTTCTGGCCCTTGGCAGCCTGGCCGCTCTCGTCATTTGCCGTTGCGAGTGTTGCGCCACTTGCAGTTCACCATATAGCGCCCAACTTAGCTAACTCACAGCGCCAGATGATCCACGATATAATAGCCAGCAGAGAGCTCACTACCCCGCAGATGGCCGAAGCAGTTGGCCTCTGCGTCCGCGCCATCAAGTACATCTGTGCAATCATGCGTCACTTTGGCACTGTTACAGCGCCGTGGAATGGCGGCGGACGCCCTCGAACCATCACGCCCCCAATGCTCGATTCCCTCCGTGAGCACCTCCTCGAAAAGTCTGACCGATACCTCGATGAACTAGCAGTCTCCTATGGAACGAGTTCGAAGCGACTGTGACGGTCTCTACTATTAGCAGGACGTTAAAAGCTGCGGGGTGGTCGAAGAAGGCGTGTCGCTGGGTGGCTAGCGGACGCAATGCAGATCTGCGGGACTTCTACTTGTACAAGCTGTCCTCTTTCCGTTCTTATCATCTAGTGTATGTCGACGAGTCCGGGCGTGATAAACGCATCGGCATCAGGCGGACAGGCTGGTCTCCTCTCGGCACGACACCTGTGCAGATCGCCCGGTACCAACGCGAACAACGGTGGCAGATATTGCCAGCATACACACAGGACGGCATCCTGCTGTCGCATGTATTTTAGGGTACAACTGACAGCGCTGTCTTCGAAGACTATATCGAGCAGCTGCTCCAGCACTGTGGCAGGTGGCCGGAGCCGAACTCGGTGCTTGTGATGGATAACACATGTTTTCACCACACCGAACGAATCGAGCAGATGTGTGCTGACGCAGGCGTGAAGCTCATGTACCTACCGCCGTACTCGCCCGACCTGAATCTAATCGAGGAGTTCTTCGCGGAGCTCTAGGTCTTCATCAAGCGCAGCTGGAGCACTTATGAGGAAGACCCAGCCCAAGGATTTAATGTGTTCCTAGAGTGGTGCGTGGATAAGGTAGGGAGCAAGCAACAGAGCGCGCGGGGCCATTTTAGGCATTCTGGCTGGACCATCGACGAGGTCTAAATGCATTCCTATCTAGACTCGACATTAAGTATTAACCTTAACATTGATGATTTCTTTGACGGTAGCTTATCTCTCTCAATCTCGGTTTCCCCCAAACATAGCGCCATGAACTCCGCCGTTGATCACACCGGTTTGCAAGCCAGAGTTCTGATTGCCAAACGTTACACTGCCCACTGTGGTTGAACCGACCTGACCCTTTGCGGCTGCTTTGGCAACTGCTTCTTCCTGAGCCCTAGACAACAGCCCGTCTAGTAGTCTCCGCGATGCGACTATCGCTTTGCGCTCCTCCTCATACTGCTGCAACGCTTTCGCTTTGTCTTCATCAGGCCCGACTGCGACTTCATCG